GCTGGCAATAACATGAGCTGAGTTTGGATCTGGGGCCTTGCTTTTGGGTTGGAAAATGCTACTTTGGGAAACAGTCAGTGATTTGATTTCAAGCTTCTGCTGTATTCATTTTTGGTTCTGCCATTTTCTTGTATTTTCTAAATTTGGGTGTGTAATGCTGGTCCTAAGATATCCTTCTGGGTCCTATTGACTTCTAGAACTTGGGAAAAGTGAGACAGGTGAGACTCTAGTTGAAATAAACCACCTGATTCCGGAGGTGTTGATGGACCAACAGGATCCAAGCCAGCTCCTGAAGAGGAAGCCAACCCACCTTTGTGAGTCCTTCCAGTCCATCAAGACTGGGACTGGGAGGAAGGAGAATGGAAAGGCAGAGAACAATCACAACAAGAGAGAAGATCTGGAGAGTCTGCCAGGCGCCAGGCACCGTGCCAAGAGCCTTGCATGTTAAGTCTCATATATTTTTTGTAACAATCCTACCAAATAGGTCCCACCATTACCCACATTTTATAGATGACAAAACTAAGTTACAGAGAAGTTTTTAGAGAAATTTAGAGCTCACTCTCCTTGGACACACAACTTAAAAACAAAATTAAAGAGCCAGGATTTGAACGTTGATGTATCTGATACCAAATCCCAAGTTCTTTTTTGTTTGTTTGTTTTTGTTTTCATATTCTTTTTCATTAAAGTTTATTATAAGATATTGATTATAGTTCTCTGTGTTATACAGAAGAAATTTATTCTTTTACCTATTTTTATATGTAATAGTTAACATTTGCAAATATCAAACCCCCAAATTTATCCCTTCCCACTCCCTTTCCCCTGATAACCATAGATTGTTTACTATGTCTGCGAGTCTGTTTCTATTTTGTAGCTAAGTTCATTAGTGTCCTCTTATTTCTTTCCTTTCTTTTTCTTTTTTTTTTTTTTTAGTACTTGCAGTTAAAAATTTTTAATTGTGGTAAAATGCACAACATAAAATTTATCATCTTCATGATTTTTAAGTTACAGTTCAGTAGTGTTAAGTATGTTTGCATTACTGTGTAACCAATCTCCAGAACTCTTTTTATCTTGCAAAACTGAAACTCTATACTCATTAACCCCTCCACCCTGTCCCCCCCACTTTAGTCCCTGGCAACCATCATTCTGCTTTCTGTCTCTATGAATCTGATTACTCTAGGTGCCACATTTAAATGGACTCATACAGTATTCATCTTTTGTGATTGACTTACTTCACTTAGCATAATGTTCTTTTTTTTTTTTACATTTTTATTGATTCATAATCATTTTACAGTGTTGTGTCAAATTCCAGTGTTCAGTACAATTTTTCAGTCATACATGGACATATACACACTCATTGTCACATTTTTTTCTCTGTGATTTATCATAACATTTTGTGTATATTTCCCTGTGCTATACAGTGTAATCTTGTTTATCTATTCTACAATTTTGAAATCCCAGTCTATCCCTTCCCACCCTCTACCCCGCCCCCCCCCCCGGTAACCACAAGTCTGTATTCTCTGTCCATGAGTCCATTTCTGTCCTGTATTTATGCTTTGTTTTTGTTTGTTTGTTTGTTCCTTTCTTTTCTTTTCTCTTCTTTTCTTTTCTTTTCCTTTTCTTTCTTTTTAGATTCCACATATGAGTGATATCATATGGTATTCTTCTTTCTTTTTCTGGTTTGCTTCACTTAGAATGATGATCTCCAGGTCCATCCATGTTGCTGCAAATGGCATCATTTTGTTATTTTTTATGGCTGAGTAGTATTCCATTGTATAAATATACCACAGCTTCTTTATCCAGTCATCTGTCGATGGACATTTAGGTTGCTTCCATGTCTTGGCTATTGTAAATAGTGCTGCTGTGAACAATGGTGTGCTTGTATCTTTTCAAATTAGACTTCCCTCCGGATATATGCCCAGGCATAAATCTCAAGTTCTTAACCTCTGTTCTATATGGCTTCTCAAAGAGAATGTTGTCTGGTCACATTTTGGTTCCTTCATTTCTCTAGGATGAAATAATACTGATGTGAGTTTTATGTTCCTGTGCAAGCAGTGGTGGCATTTATAGGGTGGTGGTTTATTTGGGGCATTCTAGAATCGTTATCATTAAGGGCTGAGGTTACCTTGGGCACATCACCTCATCCTGTAGGATGAATCTTAGCTGGATCCCATCACTAGATGGAATTTGAGATGGGAACTGGATTGGAAGTGAGTTTTTGGGCATGTGTCATTGTGTGACGTGGTTTGAAGCAATGAGCTCACCTATGTTATTTTATTTTATTTATTTTATTTTATTTTATTTCTTCTTCTTTTTTAAATGACGATACTGGAGAATGAACCCAGGACCTTGTGCATGCTAAGCATGCACTCTGTCACTGAGCTATACCCACTCCCCTAGATTACCCATTTTAGGCATCCTTGGGAGCAACAGTTAAGAGGCACCTGTGAGATTCTTACCTGACTGTGGGCTTCTCTCTGAGATTACTGGGAGCAGCTCTCAGACTATGGCCAGAATGATTTTTTTTGTTAATAGTATTTTTTTCTTTCAATTGTGGAAGCTACAACTTTAAAAAAATCTTCATATTCTTTGAGTTTTATTGAGTTGTAACTGACATCCAGCACTGTGTAAGTTTACGATGTACAGCATAATGATTTGATTTACATGCCTCATGAAATGATTATCACAATGAGCTTAGCAAACATCCATCATCTTGTATAAATACAGAATTAAAGAAATAGAAAAACATTTTTGTTGTAAGAACTCAGAATTTCTTAACAACATTCATATATAACATACAGCAGAGTTACTTATATTTACCATGTTGTAAATTGCATCCTTAGTACTTATTTATCTTATAACGGGAAGTGTGTACCTTTTGACTGCCTTCATCCAATTCCTCTCTTCAGCTCCCCTCCCCCTCTGATAATCAAAAATCTGATCTCTTTTTCTATGAGCTTGTTTTTGAAGTATAACTGACCTACAACACGATGTTAGTTCCTGTTACATAACACAGTGATTCTGTGCTTCTATACATTTCAAAATGATCATCACAGTACATCGAGTTACGATACGTCACCACACAAAGGTAGCGCATATTTACTGGCTGTGTTCCCCGCACTGTACATTTCATACCCATGACTCTTTATTTTGCAACTGGAAGTTGGTACCTCTTCATCCCCTTCATCTGTTTCTTTCCTCCCCTCACCCCAGTTCCTTCTTGCAACCATCTGTAAGAATAATTTTTACAGTTACATTTTCTGGCATCCCCTGCCTGATAGGAGGCTTGGTTTTAAGTCTTTGAGTTACCCTGGGAAAGGAGGAAGGGGACTGCTGGCCTCTAGGGGAGTCCAAGACTCCTCTCCATCCCTGTCCTCCAAGTGGAAAGCTTTTGCAGTTCGGACTTTGGCCAGATTATTTCGTTTTTTTTTCCTTCATTCATAGCTTTGAATGATTCCTCCTTATCTCCCTTGAGGCTGGTGTGGTAGAGAGATCTGGAGCTGCTTCCTGCTGGGTGTGTGTGTGTACAGATATGTGTGAGTGTGTGTACATATGTGTGTGCATGTGTGTGTATGCGTATACATGAGTGTGTATGCATGTGTATATGTGTATAAGTGTATGTGTGTGTTGGTATGAGTGTGTATGTATGCATGGGTGTGTGTGTTGTATGTGTGTTTGAATAGTGTGTGTATATGTGTATGTGTGTGAGTGTGTATATGTGTGTGCATGTGTGAGTGTATGTGAATACGTGTGTGTATGCATATGTGTGTGCGCATGTCTGTATTTGTGTGTAGGAGTGTGTATGAATGCATGGGTGCATGTTGTATGTTTGTATAGTGTGTGTATGTATGTATTGTGTGAATGTAAATGTGTGAGTGTGCATGTATGTATATATGTATGCATGGTATATGTGTGTATGTGTGTATGCATCTGTATATGTGTATGCGTGTGAGTGTGTGTGTGTGTGTTTGGTTTAGAAGAGTTTTGTTCTAAGAAATAGACCCACGGACATAGAAAATGAACTGGTTGCCGAGGGGAAGCTGGGGGAGGGATAGATTATGAAGTGGATAAGCAGCAAGGACCTACTGTACAGCACAGGGAACTATAATCAATTCCTTGTAATGAGCCATAATGGAAATGAAATGGAAAAAAAATGTATGTATGTATGTGTACATACAACGGAATCGCTTTGCTGTACACCTGAAACGAACATTGTAAATCTACTGCACTTCAATAAAAAATAAGAATAATTTTCAAAAGGTGAAAAAGAGAAGAGTTTGGTTCTAGGTAGATCTTTGATAAACATCCTTGGCCCCTGGATTTGTCTTTCCTCGTCATTAGAGCGGTGAGAGCTGGTCTAGAGGTTAAGGGTGGCTACAAAACCTACGTACAGCAGGGGGCAGTAGAGTGTAGCGGTTACAAGTGTGGGCTTTGCCGCTCTGATTGGGTTTGACCCCTGGCTTCACCCGGTGGTTCCCATGCGTTTGTGATCACACACCTCTCGCAATGAGAAAGTTTTCGAATACGCACCCTCAAACATATGTAGCATAATTGCTAAATTATATACACAATTCCTGTCCTAATATTACAGATGAATATACTATAAAACATAACAAAATTGAAATTAAATATAGAGAAAATGCTGAGAATAACTTCTTTGGGGAGAGGTAATTAGGTTTATTTATTTATTACCAGAGGTACAGGGGGTTGAAGTCTGGACATCGTGCATGTTAAGCAAGCACTCTGCCACTAAGCTGTACCCTCCACTCGAGAATACCTTTTAAGAATGCTTTTTTGAGATGTAGTTGACCATCAACTGCACATATTAGAAGTGCACAACTCTGTGTAAGTCTGGCCATATGTATACACCCATGAAACCATTACACAATCAAGAAAGTAAATAGAACCATGACACCCCAAAGTTTCCTCGTGTCCCTTTGTTTTGTTTTTTTTAAATTTAATTTGGAGGGAGTAGGTAATTCGGTTTATCTACTTATTTTTGGTGGAGGTACTGGGGATTGAACCCAAGACCTCATGCGTACGAGGCGTGTGCTCTACCACTGAGCTACAACCCCAACCCAGTGTCTCTTTGTAATGCTCCTTCCCACCCTTCCTGCTCTCCTATCCCTCCAATCTGCCTTCTGTCCCTATACATTAGTTCGCAGTTTGTGGCGTTTAACATAAATGACATACATCTTTTGGAGGGAGTCTGACTTCTTTCACTCGGTATAATTATACTGAGTTTCAAGAGAATTACGGATGAAAGCATTAAGGATGAAATACACTTTTAAAATAAAATGTTGTTTGTTTCATGGTACAAAATATTTTGCTCTCAGGTTATTTTCATGTTCTGGTTGCTAGATTTTTTTTCCTTTTTACAGTTGAATTTAAATTTTTTTCTCTTTTTCATTTTTCAGTTTTATCAGGCAAAATCGATACCATTTGACTGCACATATATAATATATTGCATGTAAATACATATATACAACATAATGCACTTATTTTTTTAAATTTACATATATGTACTGTTCATTGTTTCTAAGAACTGTTTAGAGCTTTAGCTTTTTAAAAATTTGTTTATTTTACAATATCATATTTTTTTAACTGAAGTATAGTTGATGTACAATGTTATATGTTACATGTATACAATATAATGATTCACAATTTTTAAAGGTTATAGTTATAGTTATAGTTACTATAAAATATTGGCTACTTTCCTCATGTTGTCCAATACATCCTGGTAGCTTATTTTATACCTGAGAGTTTGTACCTCTTAATCCTCCACCTCCATCTTGCCCCTCCCCTCCTCCCTCCTCCCACTGGTCACCACTAGTTCCTTCTCTACATCTGTGAGTCTGTTTCTTTTCTGTTATACTCACTAGTTTGCTGTATTTTTTTAGATTCCACATGTAAGTGGTATCTTACAGTATTTGTCTTTCTCTGTCTGACTTATTTCTGTTAGCATAATGCCCTCCAAGTCCATCCATGCTGTGCACTGGAAACTAATACAACATTTTAAATCAACTCTACTTCAATTAAAAAGCAAACAAACAATCAATTTAAAATATGGGCAGAAGAACTGGACAGACATTTTTCCAAAAGAGGAAATGCAGATGGCCAACAGGAACATGAAAAGTTGCTCAACATCACTAATATCAGGGAAATGCAAATCAAAATTACAACATCATCTCACAGAAATTTTTTTTCTGATTTTAATTTTTGAATAGGGAATACGGTCTAACCAGATGAAAAGGTATAAAATGAAAAGTCCCCCTTCAACTGCTAGCTCCCATCCACCTAAGTTGCACTGTGTCTTCTCACCTCCAGGTCACCACTTTGATTAGTTTCTTAAGTATCTTCAAGATTTTCTTAAGCAAAGATAAGGGGGAGGGTAAATAAAGCTGAGTGGTAGTGTGTGGTTAGCACACAGGAGGTCCTGGGTTCAGTCCCCTGTACCTCCATCAAAAAGAAAAAGTATTCTGAAACATTGTGCTGTACACCAGAAATTGACACATTGTAACTGACTATACTTCAATAAAAAAAAGATTTGCTTAAGCAAATATGAATATATATGTACATATATATATTTTTGTATTCTCTCATCTTTTCACAGAAAAGATAGCTTATTTATTTAGAGTGATACACCCTGTTCTGCAATTCGCTTTTTAAACTCAATCTATCTTGACAATCTCTTCATACCAGTTTGTCAGAAGTTTTTTGTTTGTTTTTGTTTTGTTTTGTTTAGTTTTTACAGTTTCGTGGTCCTGTACTTTATTTAGCCTGATGACACGTGGGTGGTTTCCAGTTTTTTTTTCTCCTGGAAAAAACAATGCTGCATGAAGTAATCTTGTGTATATGCCATTTTACAAGTGTGCAAATGTATTCGTAGGGTGAATTTTTAGATGTTGAATGCTGGCTCAGGAGTGTATAAATGAATAACTTTGATTAACAGCGCTCACATGACCTTCACAGAAGTTACACCAATCAACGCACCCACTTGTATTGGACAAGAGTGTTTATTTTCCCTATAGGCACACCAGTAGTGTTTATCCAACGTTTGGATTTTTTTTTCCAGTATCAAAAATCAAAAATGATATCTCAGGGTACTTTTAATTTGCATTTGTCTTCATGAGACTACAGTTCAATTGGATGCTTGGTTTTTTAAATATCTTGCTAATTGTGATGGTTTTGTAACATTATTACCTAACATCTCAAGGCATGAAAAGTACCAAGTGCTAGATTATGTGGTTTTCTTGAGTTTCCCATGAGAATAAAGATGCTTGTTAAGTGTTTAGATTCTGATTCACTGGAGTTGCATCAAATGCATGTTTATTTGACTTATTTGAATCCAATTATGCAGAAAAGAGGAAAAATAATAGTTTAAGTGGTGTTGGCATGAGCTGAGGAAGAGCATTCATCAGAGAGTGCACAGCTCTCTGATTATCTCATCATAAGACATGTATCATTCAATTAGATGTAGGGGTTATGGTACAAGGTGGTAGATAAACACAAACCCACAGACTGAGTTTCATGGTAGTTTGCAATTTTGCCTGCACTTGCCTTTTAAATTACATGTGGATTTTGGAACTGAATTTCCTGCCTAAGGGCAGTCTCTTGTGTTGGACTGAGAGAGTCTGTTTCCCTGAATTCTTAGCATGGAAGAATTACATGGTAAGATGAGATAGTATGTGAAATTCTTTGCCTCACGCCTTCTGATGCTGAGGGAGGAATTACTAGTGTATTTGCGTGAGGCTAACTGGCAATGTGTATGCGGCGTGACTCTTGTGGTTTAGGGAGAGCAAAGGTCAACATGGAAACACATTCACGGTGCATGTCGCACCTGTAATTCTTTTTTTGGCATTTCCTTCACAGTCCCTGCAAAAAGTGTGGACCTAGGGAGTCATGTTTGCCTTAAAGTGACCAAGACTCTTCGGCCACAGCTGAGTGGACCAGGCATGGATACCTGACCCCAACTAAGCCTTAAAATCTGAATTAGTGAAAGGAAAATTTGGGGCCATTGGAGTTCTGATCTACTGAAGGATGTGGGCCAGAGCTGATGCCATGCAACCCAAAGTCAAGGGCAAGTCTAAATTATGGAAGAGACAGAACACAGGAGCCTTTCAGAGGATGCTGACCTGCAGAGGGAAGGGAGGATGCCCAGAAGGGGAAAAGCAGAGATGGGAGATGATTTGCCCCCAGAGAGAGAGGGCCAGGTTACTGGGGAGCTGACTCCTGCTCTAGGTTTCCATGGGATTCCTTGGACCCTGACACTAAAACTCCTTTTCTCTAATCATTTAATTTGCTTTCAACAAGTCTTGAGCGTTTGGATTATAAATGTGTAGAATGCTTAGACAATGCTGATGGTAGTATAAAATTATATCCAATATTTTGGAGAAGAGTTTGGTTTTAACCCCTCAAGTTGAATATTCACAAATTCAACTTCACCAAGAAAAACTTCATCAGGAAGAACTGCTGCCTGTGCACAACTGGGAATGTTGACAAGGATGTTTGTACCAGCATTGCTCAGAAGAATTAAAATCTGGATGTTCATCGATGGGAGAGTGGATGAACAACCTGCAGGATAGTCACACCATGAATATTAGCAGCCAAAACAATGAATTACAGGGACTGCATCAATATGGCTGAATATAAGCCATATAATATTAAATGAAAAAAGCACACAGCCAGGACCGTGTCTGTTTTATTCCAGCTCAACCCCCCTCATCCAGCACATGCCTGCTCAGTAAATATTTCTCAAATGAATAAATAGGAGGAGTCGTTTCCTGGGGAGAACTGTCGTTCAAGTCCACCAGAGGATGGGGCATATTTACTGCTACTTCTCTCCCAGCCTCTCATTCCTCACTTTTCCCACCCATTTTGTCCTTCACTTCTGCTCTCTCTTTCCTGTATCTTTTCCTGATTGGCCTAAGTTGGGGACCAGGCATCTGGCATTAAAAAAAAAAAAAAAGCCAGGTGGTTCTAATGTGCGGCCAGAAGGGCACATTTCCTTTGCTGGTGTTTTTGTTTAGGATGAGCATGTGATGTCATCTCAGCCAGTGAGCTGTGTGGGGAGGTCCACTGGGGGAGGCTCCTGGAACAGATTCCTTTCTCTCAGGAGGAACTCCGACGTATACACACATCCTTTCTTGTGTGTGCATTAGCATCTCTGGAAGAGTCCCAGGAAAGAGTAATGCCGCAGCATTACCACTAGGAATGAGGACTTGGGGATGGGAGCCATCAGGAGAAGCCTCACTGTTGTCCAGGAATGCCAGTGACCAAGCCTTGGGTGCTATCCCAGATGTGTCCTTGGGGTGCCTGAAGGATGCGGGGTTCAATGGAGAGATGGGGAGAATGGCCTCAGTCTTAATTAACTCTTTTTAATTGAAGTACAGTCATTTTACAATGTTGTGTTAATTTCTGGTGCACAGCATAGTGATTCAGTTATGTGTATATATATATTCCTTTTCATTATAGGCTATTATAAGACATTGAATATAGTTCCCTCTGCTGTACAGTAGGACCTTGTTGTTTATCTATTTTTAAAAATTTTTATTTATTCCTTAATTACTCTTTTTTGGGGGGAGGTAAGTAAGTTTTTATTTATTTTATTTATTTATTTTAATGGAGGTACTGGGCATTGAACCCAGGACCTTGTGCATGTTAAGCACATGCTGTACCACTGAGCTATGCCTTTTCCCTGTATTGTTGATCTATTTTATATATAGTAGTTACTACCGACAAATTCCAAGCTCCCAATTTATCCCTCCCCACCCTCTTTCCCTGCTGGTAACCAGAAGTTTGTTTTCTGTCTGTGAGTCTGTATCTATTTTATAAATAATTTCATTTGTGTTCTTTTTTGAGATTCCACATATAAGTGATATCCCATGGTATTTTTCTTTCTATTTCTGGCTTACTTCATTTAGGATGACGATCTCCAGGTCCATCTATGCCGCTGCAAATGGCATTATTTTATTCTTTTTTATTGCTGAACAGTATTCCATTGTATAACTATACCACATCTTCTTTATCCAGTCATCTGTTGATGGACATTTAGTTTGTTTCCATGCCTTGGCTA